ATAGTAATCACACACAAAGCCTCTTTTCCATGTCAGAACAGAAAACGAAAGCAAATTACACATTACATGATTTTAGGCTGTAAAAGCAAACAGTGAAATCAGCCAGGAAGAGAAATGCTACAGTGAAAAAAAATCATCATAACAGAAACCCAAAAAACCTCTTCAGCAGTAAAATATACAAGTTTTCAGAGATTCTGAAATGGAAAATTATTCTTGGTGTATTGCGTTTGTCCTAAAACAACAGGCCTTTTTTGTGAGAAATTATTCAGATAATGACAGACTTGTAGATGAAGACTGTGGAGATGCAGACTTATAGAGAAGACGGCAGGTGGTATCTTTCAGGCTGTAAAAAGAGTTCATAGATATTCTACAAACAGGAACGGACAGTATTTTCTCTAGACTCTTCTAACCCCCTTTTCTGCTTCAGTAATGCAAACCACAATTATTTCCTTGGGAAAATCACCCAGCATGTGCTGGATGGCAACCATATTGCCAGCAGTTCTGTCTCCTCCTTTGTAATTTCCTGCATAGGGCATCTATAGCTGGCCAAATATTGGCCTTTTTTATGACTTGCATTAAACTCTTATTAGTAGTGCTTTGGTTTTCTCCCACTTTTCTGTACCTTCTGCAAGAGATTCAGTTTGAGAGCTGCAAGTAGTCCATAGTGAATCAGAATGATGACTCTCCTGTGTTTAGATAGCTAATCTGAAAATTAGTCACCCTCGCTCCCTGGTAATTAAGGCAAGTATATAAACAGATGCTAATCTCTTTCTGAGAAGTGTTGTGAAACCTAATTCATCAAAATTTTAATGCTTTGAGAATTTTACTTGAAAGATGTTATAGGAGTCCAATGCCTCATGTAATAAATTCTCCAGCATTCACCAGTAGAAGAAGATAAAAGGTGACAGCACAGCTTTCCATATTACTCATGTTTTCTAAGTTGTTAGCTTTTGCCACAAAGAAAGTGAAACTATTACATTGTATCCATATAATGTAGGAATAATGAAATGCAGATATGAATATTATCTTTATTAAGTTGCTTAAGAGGAAAAGCTGAGTGGCTTAGAGGATAAGGGACTGGGATTTCATCTCAGAAACCCCAGTGGGGATTTAATTTGCAATCTACTGTTGAGATGTTAGCTGCACAAAAGCTTTCTCTAATCTGCTGATAGAGGGAAATTATTTACTAGCTATCAAAGGGCTACCTACCTTTGACAGGACCGTACTCCCCATACATACACATTGAATCCTGTTATTTTCCAAGTTTGAGCCAATTTCAATAAAGAACATTTGGCAAGCTGTAGTCCCAAATAGGTACATCTAAATATTTGTATTACTTGTCAGTTGTAAGTATCTTCCTGCGACTTCCAGCACTTAAACTGGAGAATATGGAATAATTCACCGATATATGAAGCTACCTGCCTTGAAAATACCTCACCAAGGAAGCAGGTAAAGAAGGGGTCCATATAGTTAATGGATGTCAAAGATACTGGGCAAACTTTTGAACAGTATTGATATTTTGTTAACAATCTAACGGTTGTATGCCTTTTCTGTTGTTACTATAACGTTACTAAACTGTTTTGGAAAGGAATAGGTCACTGAAGCATGTATAAAGTTGCCTATACAGATCTACTTGGACTGAAACATAATAATTCACAAAACTTGGAAGCCTACACATTGATGACCTACATGAAGGAAAGGTCTTCCTAATTTTATTTCTTAGGCACCTAAATCCAGGATTGCAAGCCTGCACAATTTCTTTAACTCAGACAGAGAAGTCAAGCATCCATACCAGTCTTTTCTCAACAAGCAGAAAGGAAGGAAGGCATTAAATCTTTATTTCAATAGCCTGAGAGGTCAGGAACCAAAAGGACATTAGTGTTCTCAGCCCTTGAAACTACTCCTCCAGGCAAGAGGGAGCCATGTTGGGGGGGGATCTGTCTGTATTGCACTTGTATTGGCAAGGAGGCTTTTATCTCAAAGGCTGATGATACCATACAGAAACTTATTGATTCTCATAGCTAACTCTCCTTGACTTCAAAATGGCCCACAATTTTACTTTCTGTTTTAGTTAGGGTTGTTGGTAGGTTATAACTTATGGAAATAAAGGAAATTGAACATTACAGAGTGCTGCTGAGGCCATATCTTCAATTTTAATGAATTTACATTAACATTGAATTCTTTTTTTTTTTTTTTTTTTTAACCATATCATCTCCTATGAATAAAATACTACAAATGCCAAAAAGAAGAAATGGAGGAATCTTCCAGGAACTTAATATGCATTAGGCAATAGGTGATAAAAAATCTGGAGGTAAAACATGGACAAATTTTATTTTTACATAACAGAGTCCACTCTGCTGATTGTCTTCTTATTACTTTGCATCAGAGGTTAAATAAAAGATACTTTTTTCCAGCTGTTACCCTAGAAATTAACTGAACACATGAAGTACATGAAAAAAGGCAAATTGTAAAAACACATACATACATCCACCTGTATTTCTTTGTTACTTTCAATCCATCTCCTCATCATTGAACTATTCATATGTAACCGCACTTAGTATTATTATAGAGTAGCATCTTAGCTCATAAAATATTGATTCAGGTTTTTTATCATATATCTTTCCTGAACTTTGATCTTTAATACTTAGTGCTGCCTTGATGAAATATTTAGAAGTACAACATTTTCCATGTGAAAGGTAAATTTAGGGTTTTTTTAAGGTAGCCTCTGTTAATGCACTAGCTTCAACCCACAGGAGAACCAAGCTGAACTCTGTCTTGGTCACATTTAGTTGAAAATTGAGTTTGCAAAAACCCTTCATTCCCAAGAAAAATGTTTTTTTTTTTTTTTTTAAGGTAAAAGTGAGTTTTGTAACTTGGTTGGAGTAGACTTACCACATTTCCTCACCAGGTACATTGAGAGAGCCTTGAGAACATATATCCAAAGAGCTGACTTTAATAGTTACTTCCCAGTGGATAAAAATGTATTATCTATATAATAAAACAAGACCCCCAACTTAAAAAAAAAACCAAACCCAACACAACAAAACAAAAAAACACAAAATCTACATACATTTATAGGCATTGAATGCTGTCAAGTAGTTTTGCCAAAGCAAGCAAAATTAGTGCAACATCTCCTTTACAAACTTCAATTCATATACTCAGAATAACAAACACGGCATTCTTTTGGGGTTGAGAACTGATGAAGTCTCAGTTCATAGCTCATGGCTGATTGAATTCAGCATCTAGGAATCTGCAAAGGTCCAGATAAAGACTTTTCAAGGTCTCGAGGACTCACAAGGGTTCTGTCCACCACCGTTTCTTGTGGTACCTTTCTCACAGTATGTCTCTTGTCCCCACCTAGCCACTAACTTTCATGAAACCTGTAGAAACTCAAGTAGTTTTGAGCCATTTCTTTCCTTGTTGTATTTGGCTGAAAGGGATTATGGCTGAAAGGGATTTTGGCTGAAGGCTGCTAACCTTCATAGAGACAGAGAGATAGGGTGGCAGACAGACATACACATATCCAGAGTAAGCACAAACACGGGCTTCTGTTCTATTAGAGGTGCATAAATCAGGATATGATACTGAAATCAATGGAGCGGTATATATTTAAGAAAATGGACAATGAATTAGAAGATAATCTATACCGTTCTCTACTGGTTTGTGTTCTATTTCGAAAACAGGACTTCACATTGCCCATTTTGAATATGCTGGACACAACTCTTGATTAAGAGAAGCTTTTTGGACAGACAGAAGTGAAGAAGCAGAGAAAACTGTCTAGAGGTTTTATCAGTCCGAATTTTAAATTCACAGAATTTTGTGCTTGGGAGATGCTACTAGGGAGGGAAGTTTCTTTATACAGTGCACTGACTATTTTCAATAGGATACTTTTTTCTTTTTCTATAAAATCAGAAAAGTAGTGTGAAGACTGGAGTCAGTGTTGTAATTGATATGGAGAAGCAGGATTTACCTCAACTTTAATCACTTAGAAGTTACAACTCTACTAGTTTAATCATCTAGGCTTTCCTCATATCCAATGGAGAAGAATAAATGGGAGGAATTAAAGCCTCAAAATGTCTGGCTTTTCATAGCCTAAGGATTTGATGCCTACATATCGAACTTTTATACAGACAATATTAGGTCAGAAGCACCTCACCCTTACAGAACAGCTAATTAGATCTGCTAACATCAGGATGAATTTTCAGTATTCATAAGATCTGTAGGTTTGTTCCAGTAACAACATTAAACCTTTTATTACCTGGGCAAGCCAAATAATTAAGTGATAATGTCTGAGGACTGTGGTCTCAAAAAACTTTAGCAAAATGGCAACCTTGTTTCTTTTTATAGTTGGCTTTTCTGTGAGATACAAAAGATGTTCTCCAGATGCCAGAAAGCCAGGACACCAAGTAATCTCTGGGTATGTACATACATGTAAGTAAATGACAGGAAAAGTAAGAATAAAAGGATAGAAAAGGGAAATAAGTATAGTTTGCTGCATGATTCTCTGTCTCAGCTTTATTTAGGAGAATAATAATAGCTGTATCACTAAATTCAGAATTTCATGGAAATGAAATAATGAAACATTAAAAGAAAGTCTTCAAATTAAAGTACTTGCTATCTACCAGACATATATTTCATTCAAAGTATTTCTATAGATTGATACCATAAACTCATTTTCACATGATGTAACATCTGTGTTTATTTTACTGAGACTGTTGGAATGTTAAAAATAATCCATTTAAATTTGTATCATATAAACATTTTGGTAAAAGAAAAGTTGATGTCTCAGAGAAAACTTGAAGACCTGTTATTTTTATATGCAATGTATTTTATATGTTTCTTGCAATTGCAACAGATCTTTCTTTAAAAAAAAAAACAAACAACCAACAAACAAAACAACAATTTTGTTTTGCATTTTTACCTACTCTATCAGCTTCCAATGTAAGAAACTTTTGGTGCAGAATTAGTACACTATACAGATGAACACAGATCTGTCTTACCTTCTGGCTCCCTGATCTTACGTCCTGCTGCAGATTTTCGTAGCACACTCCGTCCTGAGTTGAACAAGCTAGTTAACTCATCAAGGGGACTGGTCAATGACCTTGAGTTTGTAGGGCTGTATGGAAATGAAGATGATGAATTTGAGTTCAATTTCCTGTGATCTGCTCTTGCCACCTTTGGAGAGTAAGGCAGTTTGGAGAATGGAGAAGATGAGCATCCAAGCTGAGCAGGACTTGGTCTCTGAGGTACTTTTGACAGGTCTGAGTTTGTACCTGGTTTCCCTGTATTAGTCAGAAAACTAGAACAAGTCTCTGGAGGAAATGCAAAATGTGTGGAAGCCCGGTAAGAAATAGGAGGTGGTACAGGAGGGGGGGGTGGGAGAGGAGGAGGTGGTGTGGAAGGAGGAGTCACTTTGCTGGAAACATTGAACACAACCAAGCCTGGAGATGCTGGCCTTTCATTCTCCCCTTTCTGGCTTTTGGAGTACTGTGGTGATAATGGACTTGAGCCTTCTGACTGCACAGGGTATTTTAGGTTGGTTTCCAAGACAGGAAGCTTTTTGACTTCTAGTGGTGTTAGAGGTGATTCATCAGAAGCAGGTGAACATGTGACAGGGGTGGGAGGAAACACAAGAAGTGGTGGTCTGTGGGGGAGCAAGTTAGGGAAAGGGGCTGGAATGTCACATGAGTCTTTGTAGATCAAAGCTGCTTGACTGTTTCCATCCAATGTTCCATCTTCAACGTTAACATTTTTTTTGCTTTCAAACAACACAGGAGGAGATCCAGTCACTACTGGAATTATTCCACTACCATTGCTTCCTTCTTCTGGTAGAAAATACTTCATTTCTTCATATACAGACTCTCCTTGTTCTGGGCTTTCTGCTTCAGCAGAATTGCTTTTCATTGCATTCCCTACCATTTCAATGTAGACTGGCTCATTTTCCTCCTCTTCTTGTGACATATAGAGACTCAACACGCCATGTTGTGGCCCATCAGCAGAAGCTGCCCTCTGTACTGTCACAGTGTCATAGCCGCCTGGTTTAGCTACAGTGCTTGCCTGTTTTACATCCCCAGGCTTCTGGCCAGGTATTTCTTCATAAGAGCCACTAAGTTTTGTATTGGGACTTCGTTTTGGTTTTCTGGGAGGTATTTTTTTCATGGTACTGTAGTCATCACTGTGTGGCCTTGGACGGGTCAGTACTAGGAAAATGAGAAAGGTCTGTGTTATTAACAGATCAAAGTCATTTTTTTCTTACACAGGTCCAGTACTTTAAGCTTTCGAGTGTTGCCCATATAGTTTTACAATGAACAGCAGCGACAAACATAAGGATTCGGTCAAAAATATAAATATTTCAAGGAACAAAATGCAGAACTTTCAGCTTCCAAACCACAAGACTTTGCTACCTTAGCATATAAACTGCTTTGGTAATCTCTGCTGCCACTAAAAGATGAGAACTAACATCTGAGGAGATATCCTTTGAATCCCAGTGTTCACTGCAAGGTCTGTAACACATAGAAATATGTGCTTGATATTCCTTTTGCACCAAGGGAGAGGGGCAGGCTTTTAACTAGGAGTTTCAGCACGGTGCTACTTTGACACACATGTTATTGCCAGTAACTGAAGCACCCCCCTTTTTATGTAATATCTATAAAACTCTAATTATAGGCGGATATTATGCCTATCTCTTCTGCTTTTGTACTGCAGGAGTGGAAATCCCGTAGCCTAAGGGCAATTCCCCAACTGAGTATACAGTTAACTAAACTAGATGTCTTTTCACAGCCTCCAGGCACATATGGAGCGGAGAGACTAAGTACCTAAGCGATTGGTCTTTTAAGATCAAAATTAGGTGGTGTAAATCAGAGCTGGTTTTGGACAAAGGCTCAGGAAACTGACATAGTTTTTGGAAGATGAGTATACAGCATGGAAACTGGCCTTATTGTTTCATACATATGAGAATTCCAAAGTTGTTTTGTGAGTGTATAAAAGCGTTAGTGTTAAGACGACACATACATATATAAATTGTCACTTTTTCAAAAACTTCTGCTATAACTTTTTGATTAAATCTATCATTTCTTGAAGGCATGGGCACCGAAAGCCAAAACCATGACAGAGCTCCTTAAGCCACACTAGTTTAGAATTATATTGGACACAGTTTATCTCCTTACATGGAGCCTGAACGAGCAAGGAAGAGGTTAAGAAAAATGGGCTTGCATCTAATGAATTGAACGGGAGTACAGTTATTATTTTGCAAGAGGGAGCTGCAAAGGTTCCCATCTATTGTATGCAGGATTAGAGAATGGTTATACGTAGCTTTAAACTCAACCTGAAGAATCTTCACTGATAAGCCTAGAGGATCCTTTACACAAAACATGACTAGTCAGGCTTATTAAGGAAAAGCAGAATGCATTCCCCTCCTTTAATCTACTACTCATTCATTTCAAGGGTGAAGGAAAATAGAACAACTGAACTCAAAACCGTTCTATATGCACTATAATACATTGAGACACTTTGGGACTTTCATAGTGCTTTCGTTCTAAACAAAAAAATCGCTGTAGGCAAGTTTTGGCACAAACATAAACCACTGAATGCATACGTTATTCATGTGGACACAGAAAAAGTAGGAGAAAGTTTAATGTTTAACTTGGTGAAATTTAAGATTTGAGCATTCTGTTTTAGTGATGCAAGGTATTCTAACATACAGTTTAAAAGGTGAAATAAAATGATCAGTGGGGTAGAAAAGCTCAAGTTGACAGAGAACATTTGTCTCTAGAGAGGGTTCAGCAAATAGGTTTTGGTTGTTGACAAACTAGACAATTAAAACACGTGAGTATTATTTGCTGATTTGGAAACCAATGACAAATTGACTGATTTTATTTACTGCCACTGAAATATTTCAGGGAAGCGGGACTTTTCAAAGGTGCTTGACTGTGTTTAAAAGGATCAAAGTGAAAAGAATAAATCAGTAACCTAGAGTAACATTTGCAACTGTTTCCCCCTTTATGCCTAACCTTCATTAGCGGCTTCCTTAGAAGCTGCCGACAAGCAAGCACTAACAGCCTCATACGAGGCACTCAGTCGTGTGTTGGGGTCCCTCTTTGGTTTGGGAGGAGGCTGTTTCCTTGGTGATGGCAGGCTATTGCTATCGTCCATGCTGAACACAGAGTGCAGGGAGGGGGATCTGATGGATGACCCAGCCGCAGAATGTACCAAGCCGTCCACTGCCATGGGGACAGGGACGGAGCTGGAATGAAAGTGCTTCGGCGTTCGACAGCCGGCAAAGCTGTCCTCAGAGACCTTCCCACCCTTGTCTTCAGCTCTGAAAACACAGAAAAGAGGCCCAGATGCATTATTCAAGCGATAACAATGAACCTGTTCATGCAAACATAACAACAGCTTTTTGGTAAACAATCTCACAACTCCCCTACTGTGTCGAGGGGATGTGTGTAGTAATCTTCTGACAAACAAATCCCGAGCAAGCTGCTAGCTTTCTTCCATTTCCTGTTTCATGATAAATCAGGACACTGGCCCTTTTTCACACAAATGCAGCCTTCCTTAAGCAGTTTCATATTGTTGATCAGACATTCACTGAATGCATTGTTCACACTTTGATTGTTACGCGCAATCAAAAGCTGGGGTTTCAATCTGAATGATAATTTCAGGGAAATCCATTTTAATAGAAAGTTACTGAGGCAGCAAATGCTGCGCCTTTATCGTTATTTTCTAAAAAGACAACTATAAATTCTATTTAGATAATGCAAATCTTTAAAATATTAGATGGCCTTTTTAACCAGCTACATTGGCTGCTTGAACAATTGCAGCCAGATATCTATATATCTTCCCATTTAAGCTTAATTATTAGTTATAATTTTAACAATATTAATTATGACATTATGTTTAGTTATTTCAATTACAGTTTTGGAGTTTTACTCATTCTAATTTTTCCTTTTCTTTTGCTATTTCAATACATATTGAGAAATGATTTTTATCAGCTGCTTCCAACAAACTGAGTTTTAACAAAAATATTCTTCTAACATTTTATTCCTCCAAAAATCAAAATGTTGAAAACCTTTTAACTCAGAGTGGTAATGTATAGATGGAAGATGTCTATAGAGTCATTTTACAAACAAATCTCCAAGCATTTGTTTTTTTAAATTGTATTTTTGCATGGCAAATCACCAGCAGAGCTGGGATTCATGCACAAGATATAGCCAGCTGCCCATGTAGTAAATGAAATAGCTAAAGATGAAAGCATGGTGCTCAGTGGATAATTTGTTTTCACTGTAATGTTTAATTACAGTCTTTCCTACAAAGGCATTTCCTTCAATATGTAATCACTGGGATATTTGGAGCTAATTAAGCAGATGCACTGCCATTTTCACTTTAATAAAAGTCACTGACAAAAGCAATGAAAGCAAAGGGAGTTATTCTGGATGAAAATTAAGTTCCTGTGGAAAAATAAACATTTATATGTCCAGCAAGTTATAGAGACATTCCTGCTATAGGCACATGCCCATTAACTGCAAACGCTACCTCTGCCCATTCAGGTGTTCAAGAGAAAAGAGATCAGGGACTTAGTTCTTAGAGAAAGCCCTGCCAGCATTTGCTGTATTTGTAAAGTAGCGATCCTGAAAACTGTGATGGGAGTTAGACAAAAACCATTTGCTTATTTTTAAATAAGAGGAAAGAACCCTCCTCACAATCAGCCTGTCTAGTTCAGTGTGTAATCGAGATTTCTTAGTCCGGACTTTATTGCATTTTAACACCTTCCTAGATGTTTTTCATTATCTTGGCAAATTCCCAATGTTGGAATTTTAAGTTAGAGGATTTTTTCTCTTTGTTTGGTTTGATGAAAGTCCAACTATAATCTATCTTAGAATTAAAAAATATTTCTGTAAAAAATGAATGCCTTGGAGACTTGAATAAGTTTCTATAAAGGTCACTGGCCCCTGAATAGGATATAAGTGGTGTCCTTAAGTTTCTAGACTTAATTACCCAATATAGAGAAAAAAATAGTGTCTAATATTTATTTGGGTTGAGTATATACTTGAGAATCCTCTTGCAACTCGTCAGTCATTTCTGTGAGTTTCTAAGCAGGGAAGGAAATTACTATAATTGAAGAAATGCTTTAATTCTTCACAGTAGATGTTTACTCATCTTACCTTTTGTGGCCTTCTTCTGGTCTGTTTCTAGCCTCTAACTTTTCCCTGTGGTAAGCAGCGTTCATCTCATTGCGGAGCCGGTCATTTTCCCGGGCAATGTCAGAAGCATTTTGAATGACCAAGGCATCATATGTTTTCAAACCCATATCCTCAGCATTCTGCAAGAAGCTTTTGATTGAGGTGACCTCTTGCTGTTTGATGCTCATCTTCTGTAGCAAGCGCTGACGAGCTAGAAATCCTCGTACAACTACCATAACAGAAGGAAAAATCATGGACCAAAGTAAGACAACTAATTAATTAGTGAAGAACTGAATATTACTGTGTGTTCTGCTTTAACCATGAGCAAAAAAGTTCAGTCAATGTCTCACACAAAGAATGAAAGAAATGTGATGGCATATGAATGACATACTAAAATGGAACTCTCAGTGCTTAGAACAAGATAGTGATAGTAAAATAATTCATAAATTTGAGCTGCCACAACTCAAAATGTTTACTTTCACTGAATCTTATTTTTTATTACATTAGAAATGGAAACTCGAATGTATGCTACAGATTGTGAAAGCACACATTTACACTGAAAAGGTCAAAAGATCATTTGTTTCAAAATAAAACCCTGAATAAATGATTGTTGCATTGAATGCAGTAGGAATTAAATGATCGTTTGCTTTTTGGTCAACTTAAAAAAGTGCTTTAAATATTTTTGGTATACCTAAAAAAATCAAAACTGACACAATATATTTTAATTAGACTTACAGACCTTTTGTTGCTCATTTCCTTTCAGCAAAAACAATTAAATTAATTTAATGCAAATTTCTCAAATGTATCTGTCACATCATGTCTGCATTTTTCAGTTGAAAATTTTCATCTGCATTGCATCATCTTTATGTATCTATTAGGCCTATTTTTCACACAAGATCCTGATTCTTTCCACAACTGGAATAACTGCTGTGTACCTCACAGGGAAGAACCTGTTTTAGAATTATTGACTTGTTGCCTTAAATATTGTTGATTTTCAGTACATCAATTACACCTATCAAAAATAGACTGAACTTCATTGCTTATTATGGTTACTCTCATTTTAGTTACTGAAAGCTTTTTATAAGTGAAGTCAGCAGGCGATACCGTGTATAAGATGTTGGTTTGATTTTTGGGGAAAAAACTGAAAATGTTAATATTAAGACTGGAAGGTAAGAAAATGATAAAATGCATTAGGCCTTTTTAACAATGTAATTAAGTTTCAGTCTTGAGAACACTGCAGAACAACATGAAATGACAAAGACTCAAGCTGAATTAATCTAAAGGAAAAAAGTAAACAAAGAAAGACACAATTAGTCTTTTATGAATGTAAAATGTTATTAAATATAGTAAACAGCTAAACCAGAGGGCAATGTAAAGTATTATCGACCACCTTCTATGACCTTGTTTAGATATTTAAAATAAGATTTTTTCTAGAGATGCTCAATGCCCAGCTGATGAAATATAAGAAAGGTAAATGTTAACATACTAATACTGCTCCTTTCCAATTTTTCCAAACCACTGGGTTTGGAAACATTCAAGTTCAAGTACTTTGAGATTATTTATAATGGACATCTTTGAAGGTTTCCATTTTTATAATCACAGCCAGCCATGCCATTTTCAATCCCTTTAGTTACATTCTATAAAATCTGTCTTGTTTAAACCCTGAAACATTATTGCACTTTCCCAATCTAGTTGAAAAAGAAATTAATAGTACAGTTATTTGTTGACAATTTTATGAGAGTATTCACATTGGATATACACGTTACTGAGTCTGAATTCATAATGTTGCGGTTGCAAAGGTAATGAATACACACATAGAACATTATCAGAGTTCACTGCTCACAAGTATGAAAAATTCAAAAGAGCTTAATAATAAAAAGTTGTTCCCTTACTTCCAGTATTTTCTTTAAACTTATCTGCTGCAGAGCAAATAGGGTATTTGACAAATGGTTAAACATCAAAACCTGGATGACTTTGAAAAAAAGCCTTTATTTTAAAGTAACATTTTTACAAGCATGTGTGTATGTGTGTAGTTTTACCTTGACAAAACAAAAAAAAAGGTCAGTAACACCAGTAAGGTTGGTTAGGAAAAGGAAATAAAGAGGTGAGTCCTCTGGTAGGATTGTTAGCAGGCATGAACACTGCCGAGTAGCCTGCTAGGATGGTCCAGTAAAATGATATCCAGTAGAGTGAGATGTAGCATTTAGAGACTGTACAGCTCCTCTGAACTGTACACTTTCATCAAAATTGAAATATTTTGAAGAAACATTCAACAAAGTTGAGTCAGGAACGGTTGGTAGACAGACACCCCTCCTCTTTTGCACACGTTTTCAGGAACTGAGTAGCTCAGGTTTTCATTAGAATACAGACATTTCACCACATTTCCTTCTCTATGAGAACATTTGAAAGATTTTGTCTTCAGTTCAACACAGAACAAAACCCCAATTTCATAACCTCAAAAACTGCTGTGAAAGGAATTTGTCATCTCCTAGACCTTTCCTGCTCAGTTTCATCTACTAATGTACGGGTACTAAGACTGTCTTCTGAACTTGCTCCTCATTTATGTAGATCTGAAATAATTCTCACTTATGCAAATTAAAATAATTGAGGTTAGCACCCACAGGGCAGAAAAATATCTACTTCTTCCCAGTTCATCTAAGGATAACGATCAGAATAATTGAAATTCAAGTAGACCATGGATCTGGGTTATATGAGAAACGTATTAACTATTGTGTATGCAATGTATTAAAGTTAATTCCTAATCTACATGAACTTTAAGGGAAGAACTTCAGCATGATGGATCTTCCTACAGGTACAAATAATTTTCTCACTTATTCAATAGGCCAAAACTTCCTAAATGTAGTTCTCATACCTGTGAAAAAAAAAAGAAAAGTCAAAGTCCCCAAACTCACTGTTTTTAAATAAGTATTTCTACACACACTTTCACTTTAGATTGACCCCTGTCTTTGCCTGCATAAGGTAACTTTCAGGATAATAAAAAAAGATGTATCTGCTTTGTTTTGTTTTGCTTTTGCCCAAATTTATGGGAATGCTGAAGGGATTGCTAGTAAGAATGAAGTATAAAACAGTTGCTAAGAATTTTACACAAGACGTGTTTCCCTTTAAGTTAAGTCTTTATATGGGTATATGATATTACATTTTAAGCCTGATACAGAAATTATTGACCAGTTTTGCTATTAGTCAATACACTATCAAGATAGATTTAGCTTCCTAAATCCTCCGGATACAAAAGATAGTGGGAGAAAAATGTGAACATGCAGCAGGACTAATACCATTACTCACTAAACATCACCATCCCAGATTAAAGGTCTACGGATCTCAATTTTAGGATTACATAAGAACAATGCACAGATACCCTATGCTATTCCCAACCTTCCAGAGCATTTTGGCATGCAAATTCTGCAAGTTTACAATTCTACTTGTTTGCAAAGGGCAGCTTATTTGATGAGCTAACGTAGTCAAATGGATGTATAGCTACTCCTTATTCATGCAAGTTCTTGATTTTCTCAGGCTTCTAAGACCACAAAAAACATGCAGATGAGTGATAGCTTTGATAAAAGCTTTGAACACATAGTTTTGGTGAAAATGACTTTTCAAGTCAGCCTAATTAAGGAGGGCTAGACGCAAAATCAAAAGAAATATTTTTCAAAGGAGCCAAGAAGACCTATTATCTTCATTCTTCAGGCGGAGTTTGGCAGATGTCTGTTGTGTTACCTCTGCAAAACATGGGCATATCTGAGGATGTTTTATGTTTTGGTGCAGGGTTATACTAAAGCACTCTGCGAATTGGACTCTGAAAGGTAAACGTTTCCTTTCTTTAATAAGCCAGCATGAGATGGGAAAGAGGATAAATCACTGTCGCTTTTCTAAATGTGTGAATACAACAGGTTGACTCGCACAAAAAATCAGGCACAAGTTAAACACTCAACCAAATTGTGATCTGTGTTAACTGTCACCCTTCACATTCATTCCTGAACTGCCATGATTTCAGTTCCACTTGCTTCAAGTTTTCCCTTGGTTTCCTCTTTTTACTATACATACCCTCACAGTGAAGAACAGATAGTTAAAATGAAAGGAGTTTATACAGTCTTATATGCAATATTATATATCTGACTAAAAAAAACAAGATAAATCTCCGTCTTTTTAATTTCCGTTAAATAGGTGACAATGGGAATTGTTGCAGACATCAGCCAATTAGATAAATAATGCATTATGTGAAGGAAGCTTCTCCAAACAAAGGTATATTCACATTTTCAGCAGTTATTTGAGATTTTGATAGGAAATGGAACAGAAGTAACAGGAAATCAGGAGGCAGTGGATAATACCTCCTTTTAAAAATGTGCCAAAAAATGTCAGTGTGACCTTAGTAAAAATGCAGGCATAAAAAGGGGGGGAAAATGCCAAAACATAAAAAAACTAGCAGTCAAATATGAAAGCTGTAAGAAAAGGGGATAAACATATTAAATTATTAGCTTTGTATTCACTGTCGATATATTTTAACACATTGCAATTTTGTATCATTGTTATGCTGATTTGCAGAAGAAGTTAAAGGTGATATTAATGCCTTGAAAAATCACTGAACATACTTTACAAAGGAAATATTCAAGATCCCTAAGTTTTAATTACAGTCAACAGTTTGTCGTAAAATTATGTTTGACAGGCAGAAAGTACAAGCATGACCAATGTTAATATCATCTCAAAAAATCTGTATAAGTAGTTAGCTGGAAATATGTCTGTAAGACAATGTATGTATAAAACACAGCAACTATTCAAGGAGGAGAAAATTTTTCTGCTATGCAATATTCTGCTCAGTGTATAAAGTGACAGCTCAGGAATACTCGTTCTGTAATTGTTACCTTTTTGGCAGGTTATAATTTTCTTCTGAAGCTGAAGGCACAAATCGTTGAGATGGTCAGCTTGCCAGTACTTAAGAAACACTTTTCGGACTCCTATCTAGAATACAAACAGCAGGGAAACCTTCACCATCAACAAAAAAGGCCAAAACGATGACAGGTAAATAACAATAGTATGTATACAACCCAGCTAAGGGTTGAGATAAGATCTGCAATTTGAGAAATGTACAATGCCAATACTTCTACAGAGGTAGTATCACTTGGCTGAATAAAAGATGTATCTGAAAAGGATGAGCAAGTTGTCAGACACACAGTCCCCCTTCAGTTCCAAAACCATCCAGGACAAACACCACAATCTTCAAGTTAAATACAGGTTGGAAAAAAAAAGGCATTCTAAATATAATTATGTTAGTATGTTAGACAACGTAATAGAAAATAAGGTTTAGCTTTTAAAAAACATGGGGATGTGGGCAAGGAGATAGAAGAAAGCCATAAACCCACATGGAGCAGAAAATGGTAACAGATAGCTGTCATCTGTGCAACAGGACAAATTTAGTCCAAGGTAGAGGATGGGAGAAACTCACTGCTATTAGTGAGAATGATTCCTAATGTCCCGTAAAATTATGAATCCTAGTTCCCAGGCTTGCCTGCTGAAGCTGTTCTTCTTTTAGAATCACGCCTAAGAAGTCAGAGACAGAGGGACTCATTTGTGAAAAATAATCTCCTTAAGTATTGATTGAGTGTATGAGCTTATTCTGGTGGTGACTAGTCGCTTGGTTTAACTCATCTAGTTCTTGAGGGTCTTAATAACAATTATTAGATACTCTTCCCCCTTTATGGAAAAATTTAGCTAGTTAGACCAAAAGAAAACACCTTCCTTTTGATACCTTCTGAACATGCTGAAACAATCCTTAAAAATTCTTCTCTGTATAATCCTCAAAAGCATTCCTTTCTAATAGCCTTTAAAAAAACCACCACACACAAACAAGCTACTCTACAAACAGCAAGTAACTAAAAAATATTGGATAAATAATGGGCTTTTTATACCATTTTCTTAGGAATTCTGTAGAAGAAACTTTCCTTCACTCCTTAGAACTAAAAGGACCAGTAGCAGAGTACTGTGCTATCCTGTGAAGATTATAGCTTCTGTCTAGCAATTAATTTTGTATGGCTAATAGGCATACTGATTAATTAATGTAAGTCTGACTGAAGTTGCAGAAATCCATTCCAAGTCTTGTTTCTTTGCAGTTCACAAGCTCAGTCTCTTCTCATTGCACCATCCTGCCCCACTGTTGTTTTTTTAGTATGGATCTGGGAGAGAGGTATCAGCAGGGAGGTTGTCACACCTTTTCAACTAATTGTTTTTAATCCAAACACCACTGTCAGATGTACGTCACTGATAGTGATGAGCTACAGAAAGCTAGGACATATATAACATGTCTAAACTCTGTTAAGAAAATTCAGAAATGACTGGGGCATACTTTTGTCCCTTGGCTTCCCTTCGCTCTACTCTAGAGAGAAACTGTTTTAAATCAAATGTTTTAAAGTCTCTGATTCTGAAGCTTGAACTGACAGAAAATGATGGTGCAACTGTTAGACTTTCGGTTAAAATCAAATGGACTTGAATGGCAAAATTAGAATGCTTTCTAAGTGTTTTTCTTTTTTTCTGTTAGTATCTCTTTTCCCAATAAAATAGGCTTTTTGTGTTATTGCAAAGTATGTGAAGGCAAGGTGATAAAAAACACTTTTTACTTGTCTTGCCATTGTAGAAACTCATAAATAGGAAACAGGCTTTCCTTGCATGGTGGCAAATGCCTGGAACAGATTTTTTTGAAAACTGTGCAGCTACAGAAATTCTAGAGGAACTTAGCTATTTCAGAGTAGCCCCTCTGTTCAGGCCATCTATTCTGGAATAACCCTTCTGTTTGCAAATTAGAGTCATTATTCCAGAACAATATTACCTTTTCCTAGATCCTGTTTCTACACTGGTAGCTACCCTGCTAAAATGATATTTTTATATTTGCTTAATATATTATCATCACTAATGCCCTGCAATTTTTTAACTTCATGTTCATCTGAGGCAATCTCACTGAAATCTTCTTGTGCTTTTATACTCTGCTCTTAGGGACATAGTTTAATCATTATTGTCTTGACCGGTGACTTCCACCAAAAGTTTTCACTTTTCTTCCTATGCTTTCAAAATTCTCTCTTTGCCCGGTTGTCTTAGCACTCCAACTTCCTTCTTCATCCATCACCTGTTCTGGAATCTTCTTCTTTCCCAGGGCTTGCTAAATTTCCCCAGGAATCTTTCCTTTTGTCCCCACTTCTTTTCCTCCTTATTTCATCAAAAAGTTCTAAGAAAAAGAGGTCAACCACTTCCTTCTTCAGTTTAAATTTGCTTGTCTTTTAGACATCTAATCCTGTACAATGAACAAGCAAACTTGTCATGTTTTCCCAGCAAACCATGTCAATTTTCTCCTCTCTTCCCAACAAGTATTCTATTTTGGTGCCTCAACTTTATTCCAGGACATCAGAACTCCACCTTGACTCCTCCCACCACATCCACTCTGTCACTAAACTCTGTCAATTCCTTAATAACTGCTCATCAATCAACTCTTTTTTCCATCCATCTTGTCAAAACACATATTGAACTTCCCTTATTACCAGCTTTGGTTACTAAATCTTCCATCTTCTTGCTCACACCACCTGAAATCCAGAATTCTTCTGTAAGAATAACTGAATTATTATTCGTATTGTTAACTGTAATTAAATTATCATGTAGTTATTATAATTACCATTTGCATCTGAGTAGCTCTCAGACAACCAAATCCTGGAAAGAAACACTTAACAAAATCATCTTCTTCTACTCTGATTACATTTTCCTTTTCACAAAGCCTCTACATCACATTGGAGCCTTTTCCTCCCCCCTCTGTCTCAGGCCTATGCCAAATCATCCACTTTTTCCTCATTTCTGCCTCTCTCCCTCCATTCCTCAAAATGATTGTTTCTCCTCTTCCTCACTGGAATTCTCTAAATATTCCTCTCTACTAGGACAATATTATGGTATTCTGACAGTAGAAAAGATTAAAAGTTACATTTTGAAACCTTAAAAAAGCCCTGGTTACCAGCAATGCCCGAGGCAAAATCAACAACCCTATTTTCATTTAGTCTCATAACTAACATCTAGTCCGTGTTTCAAATGTGTAACTTAACAAAACATTGAGTTGCAATTTATTTTGCAGTGTGCAGTCACAAAATCACAGTCAAGACAACTGCTTAAACTTACAGTCAATTTAGCTACAAGTGTCTGGCATTCTTTACTTTGAGGGTGACAGAGCCCTGAACAGACTACCCAGAGAGGTTCTCGAGTCTCCTTCTCTGAAGATATTCAAAACCTACCTGGATGTATTCCTGTCCAACCTGCTCAAGGTGAACCTGCTTTGGCAGGCAGGAGGGCTTGGACTAGATGATCTCCGAAGGTCCCATACAATCCCTACCATTCTGTGATTCTGTGACTGTAGAGTCACAAAGCCAGCTAGGGGACATGCAAAGCATTAGTGCTCTTTTCTCCCATCCTACACACTAGGAACAATTTAAATGGAGTTATTGTGGCATCACTTCTGCGAAGAACTTCATTAGTAGAAGCTTGCTACAATTTTTAGGTGAACGAAGGAATACAAAATGTCAATACAAATTCATTTTTACATTTGGATAAAAGCTATTTATAGATTTTACATCATATGTTAGTTCTATTGAGAACAGAGCTCTAGACGTATAGAAACTGCTATAACACATTTGATTATGTTAGCATGGCTGGAAATCTCTGTTACTAAGTCTTCATGATAAATCTGACACCCTCCAAAGCTGACCGAGAACAAGCTAGTCTCACTGCCCTCGGTACAGTTCTGGTGTTCAGTGAAAGCAATAATGCTAAAAAATGTTGGAATTTCATATGCCAGATATCAAAAGGGTTTTTGAGGCTGCCACTTGTCTTCATTCTGGTCTTTTCTCTAATCACAAAACGTTTCCTGCTTGCCTAGGGGAAAAAAAGGTTAAAATGTTCTTCCACTAAAGCACTCACTTTTCAATACTTTCTGGACTACAAAGTGCTCTCTTCTGAGTCTGAAATTTTAATGTCATTCAGACTCCTGTAAAAGTAAACCATCTGTGAATTACAGTCATAGTTATTTTAATTAGAAAAGCATTAGGGTTTTAAATGTTATTTTTCAAATGACACATTTTTTTAAAGATTAAGTAAAATTGTCATTGATGACTACCAAAGCTTCAATTACTGCTACAGGCCTCCCTTTTTTTTCTGGGAGGAAGGAGAAATGATGGGAGGGAGCTGTTCTTTCTCTCTTTCTTCTTTTTTTTTTTTTTTTTTTTTTTTTTTACAGAAAAGGTGTAGGATGTACAAGTACAGACATTCAAAACTATGGAATGGATGCTGAGATGGTGTGTAGGTGGCATGGAGGCAGTATTAGCTCATACTTAATAGGTGTCAAGGGAATCTGTAAAGCTGTTCTTTAGTTTAAAAAAGGCAATTTGTGGGAGTGCTGTGTGTTTCTGGCAGTACTTTCAAAATAGCTACCTACAAAAGACAGAGAACTATAATCTAATGATATTTTACACAATGACACACATTTTCACAGTGCATTAATGAAATGTAGAAAAAAGCCTTAAAACTATTGTAAAATGTGTCTTTTTGCAGTGTACATGTCTGCAAAAATATTGTAACGACAAACACATTTACAGGGTACTTTTACAAGGACTGAAATGTTATTTTTAAAGGCTTACCCTCTCTGCTTTATTTGTTAGCTTTTCTTCACACATTTTAAGAGTCTTCCACTGTCTCTGGCGAACTAGTGACCTTGCACCTTGGTACATACTGAATAGACCCACAGTTTAGCACAACTTATGTATGGTCTTAATATAAAGTATGTGAGTAGTCCAGTATTCACGCAAGTAACATTAAGCATTTATGTAAGCCTCTGTCAGGACTTGAGCTTTAGGGGGAAAAACTGTCATTCAGCTCTGTGGGAAAGGGCAGGAAAATGGTCATTCCTTCTCCAAAAAACTGCACAAACATCATAGCTCTTT